TAAGTACTACGAGCTATGACTAATTATTCTATTGTCTACTATAGTACTTAACGTAACTTACTTTACTTTAGTTAATTAGTTTTTTAAAGTTAAGTATATATACACTACTAAGAACATATATATATATATATATATATATATATATATATTGAAAATGAATTTGTGAAAGTCTCTTATACTTATGTGTGTAGGATTTCAAAAAGATTATTATCAAATTTGGTATAGATCTCTAGAAAAGTCAACTATTACATCATGGGATAACTTTTCTAGAGATCTATGTCAAATTTAAAGGTGATCATTTAGGGTCCTGCACACATAGATATGGGAAGGTCTGATCATTACGATATATATATATATATATATATATATATATACATAAAAGAAAAATTTATATAGAGCTGAGGCTCTAAACAATCAAATTTGAGCCGACTTAAAAACTCTCACTAAAAGAGACTATTTTGATGCCCCAAGATTTTCAAACGAATCATCTCGACATCAAGATGCATGGAAATGAAAAAAAAAATGGATTTCAACTATGAGACCATTTATTTTGGGATTGTATACAATGAGACCATTTTCCTTTGAAACAGGGAGATCACAGTTACTTATAACAATCCAATAAAAATTTTGATAGCTTGAGTATGTCACAAAGTTTAAGAAAATTTGTTTTGAACTTGATCAATGAAATAAATACAACCACCCAATTTCATATCGAATGATCAAAATTAATTGTGATCACATTATATCAAAGATAAATAGTCTCCATATATATTTTTCCTTTATTTTTGTTATAGGGATGTTACAATTATTTTTAGTCATTACATGTCAAATTGGCTGGTTAGGGGTACGTAACAAAATTCAAGATTTTTTTTAAAAAAAATTATAAATATCTTTGACCGTTTTCTAAGCGACATTAGTGTTTAGGAACTTCAATACCTATATTAATTTCTCACACGGCGATCAAGTGAGATACTGTTGTCTGAATATGCCAATATCATGGTAATTTATTGATATATTCGCATTCGAACGTACTCTTATAAGGTCAAATAGTTGCTGTTCCTGAAGTATACTTTCATTCAATAGGGGACAAAATTGAAAGCAAACCTTTTGATGATTTCTATTGAATGTTTTTTATGCTTTTTTCGAAATTAAGAAAAAATGATTGAAATGCTAAATAGTGCATCTCTTAAGGATGGATTCATAAATTTTGCTTTTCATTATTTCAATTATTTTATTTACTTAGAAACTTTTTACCTACTTATCATATATTAGTGTTTTCGATTTAAACAAAAAAATAACTAATGACTTTCATATTACAATATTTATTTCATTTTTTAAAGTTGTTTATTAAATTGGAAAATTCTTCTTACCTTTATTATACAGACAAACCTCATATAAGATCGATACTAAAAAACGGAATCATATATTTTCTATATTCTACAAATTCCTTCTTTTGACATTATTTTATTCCCAATTTAGCTCTTGTTTGGACACCCGAACTAGGATATCTTTTCTTCAAGTAGGAGATAGGTTTGGAAAATGGGTGTACAAACTATTCCACTTAGGTTTTCATATAAATGGGTTAATTTAG